GAGTCGGATATCAGATGAGCCCGAAGACGGTGCGTCGGGTCAGGTTCGAGTGTCTCAAGGCGAGGTGGGATGAGCTGAGTGTGTTATGCGCCTGTAATGCATTGTTACTCCTGTCTGATATCCCTCGGATGTGTAGGGCTCGAGCTATGGGCTTGTCATGGGTCGTGGCGATGTTCCTTTGGGTGACCGGGTGTGTTGGGGTCTTCAATCTTGGTTTCGTCAATCATGATACATGGCTCCTAGTCCAAGTCGGGGTAGATTTGTGTGTCGGGTTGGACTGTCTGTCCGGGATTTGGGCTATGTATGCAGCGGACGGGCAAATCCCAATGATAACTTGAATTTAGAGATAATTTTGCTCTCATATCATATTGTATTAAAATTTGGGGGCAATCGCCAAAAAAACCATGTACTCTTCTCAGGTCAACGAAAAAACCATGTACTTTTTTACTTACCAGTTAAACCTTGTACTTGGTGCGATTAACTGATAAAATCCTGAACTTTTTAAAAATTCACTGAAAACCCCCGTGTGTGCCAACTCAAACAAAAATGATGATGTGGCAATGGCATGGCTTCCAAGTCATGCACACATCATCATAATTATGCCACATTATCATATATTATTTTTTTAATATATATTGTATATATATGTGTTTGTATGTATAACTAATATATATACATATATATTATTTTTAATATATATTATATGTGTATATGTTAGTTATAACTATTTTTATTTTAATATATATGTATTAGGGGTGTAAAACGGGCTAGACCGGCCCAGCCCAGCCCAACCCGTCCCGATCTAAAAAAAATTTAGCCCAGCCCAGCCCGACCCATTTTTTACCAAGCCAAAAAATGGTTGGCCCAGCCCAGCTCGCCCCGGCTCACGAGCCAACCGAGCCGGCTCGCGGGCCAGATCCGTAATTAAAAAAAATACAATTTAGCATATTACATATATAACATACGAACCACCAAAATATAATTCGATACAATCGTTCCATATAGTTTGATACACACAAAACAGGATAATAACAAACACAAATTTAAGTTGTCGATGCCAAAATCTCACTTAATTTGTATAATCGAATCACCACCTTGATTGACATCATCTACACCATCTTCATTATCATTTTCAACGTCAACATCTACAGCAATAATATATACAAATTAGTTACATTTTGAAAACCAATAACGAGAAATATAAATGTAAAACTGCACCTGATTCGATTGCAAATCCTTTTAGCCAAGATCGAACACAAATCAAGAAGAGAGAAGTCGGCTTCTATACTTGTTCAAAATACGAGAGCCAAGACTGAAAGATGATTCCGAAGCTACCGTAGTTATAGGAATGCTTAGAGTGTCGCATGACATCTGTGCTACATCGGGGTATCGATGTCTGTTATCTTTCCAATACCTCAATACATCTATATCAGGAAAATCCACCATTCTCATCCTTTCTTCATCCAAGTACATTTCCAAATGAGATTTTCCTCTACCCGTTTGAGCTTCGGGTTCATCGTACTCATAAAAATCCTGAATCATTAGAAATTTGAAATTAGAAAAGAGAGTGAATATAAAACTATAAATTAAAAAGAAAACTATAAACATACAAATATTTACCTCAAGTACACTGATACTTTTTGCACTATCCCTCATAGAAGACATACGATGAGATGATTCTGCATTTTCCGAATTGGTACCAAAGGACGTGGAGGAGTTGAGTTGATATTCTTTGAAGAACATATATAACTTACTTTTCAGAAGATTCAACTTTTGCTCAGCAGTGTCTGCATCAAGATCATTCAAACAGCGATTCAAGAATTGAAATTTCATCCTAGGATCAACAATGGCACCTATTGCAAGTATAACACTGTAACGCTCCCAATATTTGTTGAATTTTTCTTGCATAGCACGAGTCATCGTTCTGATGTGATCATCGCTACTTGTCGCATTCATCTTTAACAACTTCTCAATATTGAAAAGTTGTCCAAAATATAGATTTGAAGTCGAATAACTTGAACCAGACATCAAGTTAGTTATCTTGTAAAATGGCTTCAATAGCTGGCATATTCTTTCCGTTCTACTCCATTCTTCACTCGATGGACAATGCTTATAACCTTTATCAACCATTCTCAATCTATTGAAAGTACGTTGATACTTGAGCGCCTTTTCAAGCATTAGAAATGTAGAGTTCCATCGAGTAGAAACATCCAAAGACAATACAATTCCACTAGCACTATTACCTTCAATACATTTCTCAAATGTATCCATTATTCCTTTTGAAGCTTTCACATATTTGACGCTATCTCTAATCTTGGATAGAGCATCACTAAGCGTCTTCAAACCTTCTTGGACAATAAGATTAAGAATATGTGCACAACATCTTACATGGAAGAATTCACCATCGCACAATAAGTTGTCATCTAAACAAAATCTCTCTTTCAGAATCTCTTAGCAAGAGTCATTAGCCGAAACACTATCTAAAGTAAGGGTGAATACTTTCTTCTCAATTTCTCACTCCTTAAAAATTCATGAATCTTAATAGTTAAGGCTTCACCGGTGTGTGGATGATGTATATTAATAAAAAGATAATATTTTGCTATTCAAATTCCAATTTTCATCCACGTAGTGTGCTGTCAAACATATATACCTTTCACCGTTGATGCTCGTCCAACAATCAGAGGTCAATGATATCCTACTAGGAATTCGTTCCAACTCAACTTTCACCCTCTCTTTGCTGTTCAAATAAAAATCATAAACCCGAGCAACAATAATATTTCTACAACAAAACTTGAACTCCGGATTCAGATAATAAATCCAATCTCTTAGATCTTCATACTCAACAAAAGCAAAGGGCGGATCATGAGAGATAATGCACTTAGTCAACTTTTCATCAGCAATTTTTTAATCAAACTTCTTGGTTATCTTCACATTTCCCTCGGCATCTCTAAACATACTCTTAACATCCTTCATCAACGGCTTATGCGGACATATATGCGACAAATGCCTTTTCATAGTTGAAGCCCCATGTGCACTAGGTCTCTTAGCATATGGTTTCTTGCAATGATTGCACTGAACATGGGTTACACTAATTCTAGAAAAATGGTTCCATACCTCAGATGTTAATTTTTTCCGTTTTCTGATAGAAGTTTGAATACTGCCAAGCTCAACTGTAGTGTTTGTACCTTGTGTGTCAGTATCCATCGAATCTAATTGTTCGGATGAACTCATCTGCAAGACATAGAGAGATATGAACACGTTAGACTATTGGTTGTTGCACTAAATTGAAAGAAACCAAGGAAAGAAACATATGGAAGTAATGTTAAGTACGATTGAATATGTTATGTTTTTCTCATCCCAAAACAAACAAATTGCTTGAGTCTGAAACAGAGCATAATCTGTGTTCTTCTCAAATTGACAGAATACTCACAAGTGTTTCTGGTTTAATTCGATTACAGTCCGAGAATCAAGTCTGGGCTAAAGGATTTAAAGAAACCATTATAATCAATAAACCTGACTTAAATATCTCTTTCAGGCATTAGATCGAGCACTTAGTGCTCTATATTCTACTTAATAAATACTAAACAAAATCAAAAAATATTCCATAAAAAATCGAAGAAGAGAAAAACCTAAAGTAAGGAACATGGAAAGAGAGAGAGTATCTTATGCGATAGTTGTTAAGAGTCGATTGCGACTATGAAATCGTCGATAAATCCGTGTCTGTGGTCGACATTGAGATCAACAGGGAGATAAAAGAAAGAAATACGAAGATGGTGTTGTCGAGAGAGAGAGCTCTGAAGAGAGAGAAGAAGAGAGTTGAAGTCTAAATCTGAAGAAAAGAAAGAAACATATAAATTAGAAAGAAACCCTAACTTTTTTAGTTCAGCTCGGGGCCAGCTCGCGAGCTGACCGAGCTGGCTCGTTTGGGTTCGGGCTCGTCGCGAGCTGGCTCGTTCAGCCCGTTTTTTAATGGGCTCACTTTATCCTGGCTCGGCTCGCTAAAATATGGGCCAGATCATGAGTTGGCTCGTGGGCCTGGCTCATTTTACATCCCTAATTTGTATTAGTTATAATATACATATATATTGTAGTTATGTGTATATGTATTTTATTAATTACAAATAATTTTATTTTTAATATATATATATGTGAATTTATATGTATATATATTAATTTAAATAAATTATTTAATTTAAATTTTTTTTGAAATGATAATATGACATAATTATGATGTTGTGTATATGAGTTGGAAGTCATGTCAGTGCCAAATCATCATATTTGTTTGAGTTGGTAGAGTGGAGTTTTACGGCGAATTTTTAAAAAATTCAGGTTTTTATCGGTTAATCACACCAAATATAAAATTTAATTAGTAATAAAAAAAAGTAGAGGATTTTTTTGTTGAGTTGGGAAGAGTAAGAGGTTTTTTTGGCGATTTTTCTAAAATTTGAGATAATTTAAATGGAATATATGCAAATTTCTCTTTAAACGAAGAACGAATAGAATAAAATATTTAGCCGCACTAATTAAACAAATCAAAATTTCTATGTATTTTCATTTTTCAATCTGATTAGTGCAATTTCTTGGCATTTGGATGATGGTTTTGTAGAATATAACTTGTAAATTATAATTTGTTGGTCTTAAATTCTATAATCGGTTCCTTTAGATTAAAAAGCCCATTTGCATTGTTTTGAGATATAAATTTTTTTAATTATAAAACTCTATATAGAATATGAATATTTTTTTTCCTAATATCACCATGAAAATAACAATATATTATCCAAAAATATATTTGTATTATTGTGATTATATCCGAAGCTGGTAATTTTTAAGACGAGTCAGTATGAAATGGGTTTTCGGAAAATATATTTTAAAAAAATTATACAATTTCCTTTTTTCGACAAATTATCAATATTGTTTTTTTTTCCTTTTCCCCAAATTATCAAAATCCAAAAGCGAAAGCTTTTTTTTTTTTTTCCCGGAATTTTCCCTTTTCTATTTTAACCCGAACTCGAAATGTTTGGTGAAGGCATTTGGGTAACATAGAATTGTTGGAACTCTTCGTGAGAGAAACCAGAAACTAAGATCGAACACCGAAGGGTTTGATTCCGAGAAGGGAAGGAACAATGGACGATTACACTCGAGAGATGATGGATCTCAAGACCTTAGTCACTCGAACCCTAGAGAAGAAGGGTGTTCTCGCCAAGATCCGGGTAAATTCTCTTCGAGTTTTCCTTCGATTTCTGCCACACAATGTTTGGTTTGCGAGAAACTTTGCTGGAATTTGGGGAAACCCTGAAATGGGCATAAAAAAGTATCGTGTTTTAGTCGATCTCTTTTTGTTAAAAGTACGACATTTCTAGGGTTTTTGATGGAGATCCTTGGTTACTGGACTGACTGAATGTGATCTCCTGGTATATCTGTGGTAAACTTTCGATGGCGTTCTTCCCGTATGCATCAGGATCTCTATAGATTCTCGTCGATTTTTGTGAAATTTCTCTTGGTTCAGAAATCGGGCAGATGATAGAATCTTACCCCAACAGATGTTTTTTCTATTTGGTTGATCTTTTTTCTAAAAAAATCACATATGAGTTTGATTCCTATGAGGAACCCTAAAGTTGAAATGTCTATGAGCGGTTTAATAGTTCAGTTGCTCAATAGGCCGAGCTTCGTGCGAGTGTGTTTGAGGCAATCGAAGAGGAAGATCGAGTTATCGAGAAAGACGATGGTCTACCTCCTGCATTGTTGGGCAGCTGTAATGACCGTGCGAAACACCTTCATGCTTCTCCATCAGGTCTTTCACCATTAACGATATTTGTGTTTCAGATTGTTAGTGAAGTTTTAGTCTGCCATAGTCTGGCTCTTATCCTTGTTGTCTGAACATCTTGAACTATTTTTTCATGGATAGATATGTCTATTATATGATCAGACTAAACTAAAGAGAAATGGGTCTAAAGTGCCTGTCATGGTTTAGCGCTTTGTGCTTCCTGCTTTTTTTTGGGTACTCAACCAACAAAATTCTAATTCATTGTGTAAACATATTTTTCAAGTGAAAAACTACCAGGGTTGCATGTGTTAGTGATGTAGAAGGCGTTTGAATATCAGTTTGTACATTTCTGTAGTTCCTCTTCATGGTCTGGATTTTTGAAATGCAGGAAGGTTGCTAACTGCGTTAATATGTGAATACTTGGACTGGGCGCAACTAAATCACACTCTAAAAGTTTATCAGCCCGAATGCAATTTGGTAATCAAGTAATTCCTTTTCGTTTATTTCTTTATTAAGCTGTGAGTGAGCGTATACCTTGTTTCCTTACTAATTTGCTGGTTTACATTATGCTTCGAAACACATGCATTAGCAAAAAGACTTCTGGAAGGCCGAGTTGAAAGAATTCAGTAGCAAGAATGGTTATGAGCTTAACAGAAATGGGGATAGTGGGCCTCTCCTTCTGGATGTTCTGGAAGGTTTCTTGAAGTTTGAGGTAATTTCTTTTATGTTTCTATTTTGTATAAAATGAATTTAATCGGTACTTTTGTTTTCCAGTTATCGTTTATTTTGAATTTGTTTGCAAGATCGAAAATTGCATTAAAAACAAAGTTTAATCTCCCATCTTAACTCTACCCTTTTTGGACCATATTGGTCTTGAGTCCTAGGTTCTTTAGGTGAGGATATCTAATGCCAATTCATTGCATACAGAAAACTGGGCTCTTTTAAAAGATTGAAACTGGTGCTTTGTTTCTTACCATCTTCTTGGTGAAATCATGATTTGAGGTTGTGTACTTTGGGTTTTGAATTCTTGACCGAGAGAAACTCTAGAAATTGCTAGAACATAGATCTAGTGTGAGGAGCATATATTGAGAAATGAGGTCTTTGATGTGTGAGACTCAGAGTTTCTATTGAAATCCTTTGCTTCCTCTCACAGGGAACCTATATAATGTCTCTTTGTGTGGTTCATTCTCAGGCTATCAACATCTTTAACTGATTTTCTTTACAGAACTTGAACCAGTCCATGAGTAATACAAGAAGAGATTCAGAAACTGAGTCCTCATCAAGCCTCGAGTCCGGAAATCCACGCAGATATTTGTCGGCATCTGCTTCTGGGGGCTTACCTCCTCTAGGAAGGTATAGATATCTATAACTTGTGATTTCTCAAATCGAAAGAATTCTTTCCTTTTGTTCTTTTTAATGTTGTGAGTTTAACATGCTTTATCCTGTAATGTTTAATGTCAGACCTGGCTCTGTACCCCGAGGATCCGGTGAGTGATTTTCCTCTGCCCCTTTTATCTTGGTTGAAATATGAAGTTTACTGTGATGCAACATCGAATAATCTGTGAAATGATTTAGATCGAAGAGCTGGGATGTCTTCATCTGGGTATAGAGAAGATGAATACAGTTGGAGATACGACAGCCAAGATGTACCAGAAGAGGTAATGCGAGCTTCAGCAGCACTGGAAAGTCTTCAGATTGATAGAAAAGCTCGGAATCTAACATCGTCATGGCGGTAATTTGGCCTTTTTCTTGAAAATGCTTTTGACTTGGGCATATGTTCCTGACAAGAGTGCAAGAACACAAAATACAAAAAGAGAGACCGGGTATTGATATTATGAAGTTCTAATCCACCTCTTTGTTTATCGGTTCGCTGCAGGAATGATACATTTCTCAAATGTATCCATTATTCCTTTTGAAGCTTTCACATATTTGACGCTATCTCTAATCTTGGATAGAGCATCACTAAGCGTCTTCAAACCTTCTTGGACAATAAGATTAAGAATATGTGCACAACATCTTACATGGAAGAATTCACCATCGCACAATAAGTTGTCATCTAAACAAAATCTCTCTTTCAGAATCTCTTAGCAAGAGTCATTAGCCGAAACACTATCTAAAGTAAGGGTGAATACTTTCTTCTCAATTTCTCACTCCTTAAAAATTCATGAATCTTAATAGTTAAGGCTTCACCGGTGTGTGGATGATGTATATTAATAAAAAGAAACTGTCGACGCCAGGGATGGAACAAGTGAAGAAGACAGAAGGATGGACTAGGTCTTTCCGAAATTTGCTCCCTTTCCTCCGGATTAATATTCGGGAACTCTTCTTGTGTATGTATTTGTGCTCCTCTTGATTTCCTGATGCTCTTGCTCAACACAGTTGTAGCACGCTAGGTGCAATTATCGTCGTCTTGCAAGTGGGTTTCTTAGCTTCTCGGTTATGTGATCAAGAGCTCTATAAACCCATCGAAACCTTTAGTTTCTTTCTTGGGATTAGAAGTTAAAACCTTCTTTCAGAACCCTAGGGGAGGTGGGTTCTTATTGTAATTGAAGAAGGTTTGACACAGTTGGAATATTATGTTCTGAGGTAGTTTCATGGTGAAACATGGAATACTTTATTGCCTGAGACAATGATATTTATGGGGCAGGAGTTGTAAGATTTATCAGAGAGTTATGTTTTATTTTTGTTGAAAATAAAAATTTCGGGGAAAAATCAGTTCTCTTTCACCATGGTGATGGTGGTCTTTCCCCACCTTGCCAGCGACGAGGTAGAACGCGTTATCTTTCTTCATTAGGTCTGTAAATTCCAGAATCGATCTCGAGGAGAAGTCATTGCCTCTGGGAAAGGCGGCAATGTCCACTGGGTGTTTCTTGCCATCGGAAACTTACACGTCATGCCTCTCGAGTTCCCCGCATTGCTACCGGCTTCATGGACGAAACGAACTCTCCTTCAAGACAGGTCAGGAGTTCTTCATTGACAGTTTCCTGTATCCATTCGTTGTCTCTTAATTTGTCGATTTTTGTGGTTGTTTTTACCTTTAGCTAGGAAATGTAGCTTTTGGGGAAGTCTGAACTTTTTTTGGATGTTGCTCCGTGAGAACATTGCTTTTGTAGATGATGTGGATCCATGTTGTCTTTCGCTTTCTAAGTGGTTGTGATTCTTAGCTATTGGTGGTGAGAGATCATTGGAGGAGGAGACAGATTGGGTTGCGTATGTATGCAGAGCTTGTATTACCAAAAATCGTTCTTAATCATTTTGTTGTGAAATGGTTATCGGTTCTTGTCGTCCAGGAAAATACTGGGAGAGTATCTGATGTTTTGATCTGGTCATCAACCCGAGAAGAGGCCTTAGCATAATAAAATGCGTCCCGAGCCGAAATATCACAAGTATGACCTCGGAAGGATGATTTGCAGCGACTGGCGAAAACGACAATGTTGCACTCATCGATATCGAGGGTGAAGTTGACAGTACCAATGTGTCCATGCCGCTAGGCCTCGGGAAAAAAAAAATTCGAAATTCGAGTACCTGATCGGATCTATGCCACCGAAATTCAGATACTTGCATTGTGTCTCCATGTTTGTGTCTAGAACTAGGGGTGATTGATTTGGTTCGTTTTTTCGAAATTAAACTTTATCGAACCGAAAAAATGTAGTATTTTTTTCGATCCGAACTCTTCTAAATTCCTAGACAGTGTTAATTTTAGCAAAAACGAATATTTTGGAATCGAATCGAATTTTAAAAAGCCTCAAAAAAATTGAATTTTGGTTAGTAGATCTAATTTTTTAAATAAAAATCAGAATCGAACCGAAATTGAATCGAGTATAAAATAATACCGATTGATATTTATATTTATAAAACTGAAAGAATCAAGTGCAAACTGTTTACGACTCGAACCGAAAATGAAAGGTTCACTCCTACCTAGAACCCTGATATAAATCGGGTTCGGATCAATGACGTTGAGGCAGGATTCACCTGCGGTTTCCGTAATTTTTAAAAGACCAAAATACCCTTTTGTTTTAACGAAATTGCCAAAATAACTAGGATTTTATTCCCAAAAAGGACTTATTTGTCTCACTCGACTCTCAACCTCGAGGTTTCATCGTAATCACTAATCATCGATTTAGAACTCGATCTGTTTCTCGCTTTGTACCTCGGTTTCTCATTGCCTTCAAATAATAAATATATGTTATTTAAAGTTCTATTTCCAATATGTTTTCAGTAGTTGAATTCGTTACCAAAATATCAATTTTTTAGATTTATTAAAAAAAAGATTTTATTTTGTATTTGTGTACAGTTTTTACTGTTAACATTTATATAAATTGCTTTTATTTAAAAAATAAGTTCAGAATTCAAAATTCAATTCCAGATTTTGGATAATGATTTTTCTATTCATTGGGATAATATAGGATCATGTAAAAAAGATTGTGAGAATTTTTCGCTTACATTTATTTAGAATATGGAACGAAATGAGAGTCAACTCCACATATATCTATGTTTTAGAACAACCGCATACATATGCATTCGCTCCCTCCAGTAGAAACCAATTTCTCGCTGCATGGTGTAATATATATTTATATATATATATATATATATATATATTCGCAAATTCAGAAAATGATGAGATGATAAACAAATCCTCAATAAACCTCATGTTTCATCCTATAAAAAACAATTTAATCCCTCCATATGTGTGTATATATATAAAGCACAAAAACAAAACAAAACTTAGCAAGTACAAGCAAGATATACTAATACCATTCTCCAATATCCACATATTACAAAAAATGTATTATTGCAACCAACCAACGACAGAATTAATATATATATATATATATATAAAACATTGTATAGGTACAAAATCTAATCTGTAACAAAATGAACCGTGATGAAGAGAGAGGCTTTGTGCTGCTGAATCAGAGAAAGAATGGTTTTTATCAAGAAGAATATACCTGCGGAGTTTCTTATGGTTGGGCTTCGTTTGTTTGCTTCTCCTGTTTGGTTTCTGTTTCTGCGTTTTGTCCCTCTGTTGTGGATGGCGACTTCCCTTCGTTCGGCTGCTCCTCCGAAGTATGCTTCTCGCGAGTCGAATTTTGCGACTACAAGACAAGACAAGACAATCTCGCCTTAGTAAGGTCAAGCAAGAATGCACTCGTATTTGTTCTGCTAAAAGAAACGAGTCCAATCTAATGTCCGGTTTTAAATAGCATATCAAAGAAAACGATAAAGAACCATAGGAAAACGATCGATGTGATAAACTAACCTTGTTCTTTTCACGCCACCCTCCTAGTCCGAATGATAGCAAGCTTATCTTCCTTTGAGGTGGTTCTTGTGACTGATCATGGTTGTTCCTGGCAGGTGAATCCGGATTCATCCCCCTGAAAAAAGTTTTTTCATCCCTTCACAACAATGTTTAGGCATCGAAATCAATACAAGGTCATATCAAATGCATAACATTCTCTAAAGCATGCACCATTTGGCAGAAAAAAAAAAAAACGAATTTCGGGTACTTGATCACACCCATGTCAAATACCCGGTTATTTTATGAGATGATATCGGGTTTGGACATAAAGATCACCAGAAAATCGGATTCGGGTTCGGAAATTGGATCCGAGATGGGTATTATTACTATTACCCGCAAATACCGAATGAATAGCAAAATTAGCTTTTTGCCCCTAGTTTTAAAAATTACATACAAACCTAGGGTTTTGAACTGAAATCTCTCGAAATTTCAATTTTGGATTCGGGTAGCCCGAAAATCTCGAATACCTAATCTGTCCACCCCATTGCACCAGAATGAATTATGGCATCAACGAGAAACACGGGTGCTAGGAGAATTTATGAAGTATTTGCGAGTTAGGTTTAAATAGTTTTAAGCGTTGGGAGTGAGAAGAAGGACACACCTAGGGGAAGGTTGCGCTTTGAGCTGACCAGATTGATACTGCAACGTCGCCTCCAACATGGATTCAGCCATCACTGCTCTCTTCTCCATTTCAGCGAGAGCAGCTACAGCCTCTTCGTATTTTTCCTACAACGATATCGTGTTTATGTCAGAATAATTTAAATGGTAACAGAGAAAACGAACATGCGTTAAACGAAATAGGAAACAGAGATGCTAGAGCCTGTCTACAAACACGTACTGGAAATTGGGCAAACTTTTATGAATGTAAACATATAGTGCAATATAATGTCAAAAGCAAATGGCAGAGCACATTTTTCTAGGAAAAACTGAGACATGCAGGACTATTTCTAAGAACAAAACATCACCTCGGAGGCTAGGAGTAAATCCTTATGATGATAATAATAGCCTAACCATTTTGAGCAGAGGGTGTTTTGAATCAAAATTTTAAAACCTGAAGCACTTGAGCAGCGTATCTCTGGGCAGCAGCGTCTTGCTCAGCAAATCTACGAGCATCTTCTGTTACTTTCTGTTCTTGCTCCACCCGCATCAACACCTTTAGAAGTACCATGTGAACTCAGAATTACCATGCATGAGCCACGCAAGATAAACAGATTCAAGTCTTGAGAAGTGAACAAGGTGTAAAAGTCCACCTGAAGCATAGCACTTTCTTGCTCCTGTTTATCAGAAAGGAGTCTCCGGAGCTCAGTCAATTCTTGCTCTAGCTGCTCAACCTGTCAAAATTATTCATTACATGCAGCAAGTGACAAGTTAAAACTGTCTCAAAAACCTAACTTAAAAACAGAGATGGTGCATGGGCACTAGATGAAATCTAAGATAATAGATGAGCACCCATTAGAGGAACAGGAGAGAGAAGAAGGGAGGCAATTGTGAAACCGTCAAGCAAAAGCAAAATCGGTATCCATATTATATCATATAAGGTGCATCCATCAATATTGTTAAGATTTAAGAATGATGTGAAATGGTAAGCTTCATGGGGTTACATTTGCGCACAACTGAAGTCGATTGTCCTGTTTGACCATCTCCATGAGAGCAATCTCCAACTCTTCCGCTCTACCATAACAAGGAACATTAGATAATAAGGACACTCGGGGGAAATTAAACAAGAGGGAATAACAAAAACACATAAAAGTTATCCCATGATCCTAATTCCCCAAAGTCACAGATCAGGCTATAAAATGAACCTTAGGATAGCTGATGTTTTCTCCTCAAACAACTTGCAGAGTTCGGCCTTCAACCAGAGAACCTGCACAAGATGTTGATAACCTTTAAAAGGAACGTTATTAATAAACTTTGATTAGCCATGATGTTTGTTAACAAAAGGCCTAAATGACATTCATTGCCGTAGGCATTCATTTAAAGTGGTTATTGTACCTTTCACCATACATAGTACCTAGGGGCAGGATCTCAAGGCCAACAGAAAGGGAGAGGACAAATTACCTGCGGTTGAAGATCTTGAACTGAGTCCACTTCCCCATCTCCAGTCAGACCGACTAAGATTTCATCCGCATTACTAGATCCAGACTCTGAACGAGACAAGACCCCATCTGTCAGCGAGGTTTTGCTAGAATCCACCAAAACGGATTTCGGGTCTTGCTTAAAACTATATAGTTTTGAAGCAAGACCCTTAGAATCCCTCCAGGCTTGAAGCCCCTTTGTTCTTTCCTCAAGTGCAATTATCACAGATGGCCTGTGCTTGTTCCTCAATTCCTGCAGTCTACTTTCCTGTACATTCTGGTAACCCATGCAAGCTGTCAAAACAAGTTGGCTGCTATCAAAAGTTGAACCCGCCAATGACTGTAACAAAGTAACAGCATCTCCAGCATCCTTCGTTGTAACTAAAGCAGGACCTGACATGGATCAAAACACTAGACTTTAGAGCAGCCTCAATGATGATACTATTGTTCTCCGAGACTAAAACATATCACTTTAAGCAATAGGCTGCTTGTTTCAACCAACCATATAGTTCCATCAAGGCGAGTGCCGTCCTAAAAAGCGTAACACGATTTCCTTCAAAGAGAAGCACGTCCCACACTCTAAGAACTGCCAATACCAAGAAGAACTTTCAGATAGGAAAGAAAAGTATTTAGGAAAGACAGTATGACTTTTTTTCATTTTTTGACAAGAAAAATCATAAAGAAAAAAAAAGCCAATATAAGCAGATACTCATAGATAGAGTTACATGTGAACATTATGAAATTTTAAATAAAAGTTTCAATTCAATGTGAAAAAACCTGACCACTTTCCCATGGAAGCATGTTCATGAAGATAGAAAGAAACCATGGCCCTGAAACCCATGCCACTTGCACTCCCAGATAATCTAGATGATTCACTGCAGAAATACAGATAATGTGGAGAGCGTCAGTGTCCACTGTGAACATTAGGCAAGAAACAAATACCTAAGGAAAACACAAACCCAATTTAGGAAATCTCTCGCGAATCAACTCCTCCAGAACTAGTTGATCAACCTGAGGCAAGAATATAAATTATAGTAACAATAATTAACAGATTCAATGAAATTATGAATAGAGTATAAGTACAAATTCTAAGTTACTATCATTAGTCTACCCCAAAAGAAATGAAATCTCTGGAAAAATGTAAACAAACAACTAAATCTTATTACCTGACACTCGATCATTTCTTCTGAATAATAACCATTGAAGTAGTCATCAATGATTCCTGTCAGTGCCCTGAAAGGCACAAGAAAATTTTTAGTTAAGAAAAAGAATGGTTACGAAATAGATGGAATAGACTTAGAACACTCAACTGGACAACAAAAGAGAGATAGATACCCAAACTAAGAATGGAAAGGAATCCTAATACAATTAGTTCCACAAAAGGGTGAATAGGACTTTCACTGGAAAATAATGTCAGAAGCTGGAGAAATCAGCTTATCAAGATTCTGGACATACCAAAAAGCATTCTCTTCAGGCATCAGAAGCAATAAAAGTGCAGCAAAGAAATTCATGGCCTGCACATTGTTGATTCACACAATATATTAACTAGAAAAGAGAAACTAATTCACCACCACAGCAAAAAGGATGTTAATCTTTATTTAGCATCTTCTAGTACAAAATACGAAGTCATAATAATCAGTACCAAATACCTGACAGTACCCAACAGAAGGATTATGTCGAGCATACGCAGTAAGTAATCGCCGCAAAGCATTTCTTCCATCATCATCTAGGGCAGGGTGACCTGGAAATGTTCGAGGCAAATCCTGCATTTGAGATAAGTAATGACTTGAGAATTCTACTAACATCAAACAAGAGATGCTCAATGCCGAAAGAAAAAAATGTAAGGACTTACCTTCTCTATCTGTCCTTTCCATTTTTCCACGGCAACAATGGAGTCCATTCTTGAACCTTTATCATTGGCATGCTGCACATGTTCCTGTTCTCCATTGCATCCTGGACTATCAGCAGCAAGCAGATTCTGGTAATAATTCTCGGTCCGTCGTTTCCTCACACCTACAAATGCTTGCCAGAGCTGAAATTTATGTTAATATACTCTAAGACTAATATCGAGCGAGAAAAAAGGGTAGTGAGATCTAAAGATGAAGAGATGGAGAACGGTAAACAAGATGGACAAGCCACGAGAGAGGGAGCAGTATAGATATGGTTACATGACAGGATTCATTACCTCACCCCTAAGAGCCATTGGAACACCTCCACGAACGAGAACTTCAAGTTCTTCTTTCCAGGGATGTGTAGCTACTGGGGTAGTTGCCTCTGCAACAACAGACATGCTGGAGATACTTGTATCTGAAGAAGAACCATCTTGGATTGGATCTGATCTCTCCACGTCATAAAACTCATCTTCGGAATCATTCTCAGATGCTCCCTTGGAAAATTTGGTATCATCTGATGGAGGCGAAGATTTCACCTTTTGAGTTTCTAGCTCCCCTTTTAATGAATCACCCTTCTTTTTGACACGTACACTCATCAACTCCTCAACTGCTCGCAGAGATGGTCTTATCTCAGTCCATAATTGAACCCTATGCACAGTTTTCTCTGCATTGGGGTATGCATTCTCTTCGCTTCCATTTCCAGACTTATCAGTATGCAGGCATTCTCCTTCAGCATCCTTATCTAACTCACCCTCTAGCGGTCCATGGCTATTTCTAGGTGATCCGTCTGCAGGAGACTCAGCTGATTCTGCATGAAGTTCCAAGAAATTGTTCCACCTCTCTGACCTTTCTTCTTCTTCCTCCTGCACTTATGAGTTACGAACAAGGAGTTACATTACAATTTACAAGTTTGTCGAGAAAAAGAGTGATAGGAACTGTTTCCCATCATTCCTCGGAAGAAGGACTTATTACATTGGTAAGTTAAACCTAACTAAATAATTTGATCAGGCACAGGATCTCAAAGCACATAAAGTATTATGTTTAGCCACTTCTGATATCTCCCACACAGATTATGCCTTACAAGTTACGGCAAAGATTCCACGAAATTACTAATTTCACAGTCATATATCAGTAACACCAAAATTAAAGAAAAATAATCCTTTCCCATTACGGTCCAGGAGCAAAAAAATGAAGTTGATAGATATCTGAGAAGAAAATAAAAGATACGGAAACGAGAACCTTGTAGATATTAGCATACTCTCGGTATCTTTGCACATGCTGAGGTCTCACAGCAAATCCATATGCATCCCTGTTAATGTGAATAGCAATTATTAACCGCCACAGAGCTTGCAAGGAAAGATTCATCACACCCACTAATCGGAAAAATTCCCCATCAGTGTACTATGACCACTCAAACTAAATTGCATCCTTCGCGAATAGCCAGATCGCTGAGAATTACAAATCATACTTACTTACAAATCTGTCCGTTTTTCTCTCAGATCGCTCGAATCCACTTACTACACAAACCCCTTTTACCAGCGATTCATACCAATCAAAAGCGCAACAATCTCCTAGGTAACAGGAAAATCGAGCTCGAATAACTAAACCACACTCAAATCAGAATCGATTATCATTGGAAATTGTCAATTTCTCCCCACAGGCCGCAACCAAAGCACAAATTAAGAAAACATCAGAACGAATCATAAACCATTGCGCAAATAACTTGAACGGGAAATCGAAAACCAGCATTTCCCGTTAGCTAGTCCAAAGCAGTTGCAGAACCAACAAGTTCATAAACCTCTCCGACATCAATCAGCAACAGAAGAGTGAGGAAATGTGGCGAGGAACAAGCACGAAGACGAATGTACACACACCTCTTGTGCTCGAAAGCGGAAAGAGGATTGACAGGCTTGGAAGCCGCCGCGGCGATCCTCATTCCTCAAACGAACGAAAGAACGATGAGATCTCTCCGGTGAGAGTTGGAAACTCGAACACGGTGACTGAAAGAAGAAGAAGAAGATCCGATGGAGAAGACGCTACTCCATCTTCCTTCTGCAACTGCAACTTCTTGAAGGAGAGAGAGAGAGAGAGAGAGAGAGAGAGAGAGAGAGAGAGAGAGAATCACATGTAAAGGGCGAGATTGTCGACGAGGCTATTTACAAAGTGAAATTATTTCTCTGCGTTTGGTTCCTTGGAACGGAGTCCAAAAGGTCGATCTAATTTTCACAAAAGCTTAAAAAGGTTTTACGAAAAAAAAATGGCCTAAAAAAATAAAATCTGAGGTGTTTTTTTTTTTTGGCTGCTGCTTGCATGAAATAATTATCCTTATCTCAAAATAATTGAAATATTGAAGATTGGAATATATTTATTTGAATTTTTCTTGTACATTTTTTTTCCATATTTATCGATTTTTTTATTAATTGAAATATTGTTAATTATACTTGTGAAGAAGAAAAGACACCTATTGTAGCATGTAATGGAAAATCGTTGAGGGTATTTTCTAAAAAATACTAAATGCATATTTGGCTGTCTTATCTCAATAAAGAAAAAAAGATCCAAATAGAGGGGACGAAGATATTTTGTGCTTGGGTTGGTTTACTTTTTTATAACATTTAGGAAAATGACATTTTCCTACACGAATTTATCAAAATGTAACATTTTCCTACACGAATTTTTAATTTGACAAATGTCTACACTCAATTAACAAATTTTCCAAATACCTACACGAATTATCCAATTTTAGTGCAATTAACTACACAATCCGAAATTATCAATTAATTGCTGACGTGGAAGGCCACGTGGCGACTCACGTGGCATGCCACATGGGATTTTTTTGCCATGTCAGCGCGAATTAAAAAAAATAAAAATAAAACTTTTCCTAAAATAAAAAATAAAAAAATACATATATATACATATATATGTATTTATATATTTGTATGTATATAAATTTAAATTTTGTATAGATTTTAAAAAGTATATATTGTATAGATTGGAATTTTATACAAATATATATATATATACAAATATATTTATATATATACACATACACATATGTAAATATATTTATATGTATGTATATATATATGTATATGTATATATATATTTATATTTGTATTTGTATATATATATGAATATACACATATATATTTATATATTTGTATGTATATAAATTTAATTTTTTTTATAAAATTTAAAAATATATATATGTATACATACAAATATATTTATATTTTTTATTTTTTATTTTTTTTTAATTCGCGCTGACATGGCAAAAAAATCCTAGGTGTCATGCCACGTGAACCGCAACGTGGCATGCCAC